CCGCCTGTCACTCGGCGTTTCAGCGGTTTGGCAGAGCGATGCAATTTGGACCTGCTTCAGCAGCCAAACGTCCAGGTCGATGAGTGATGGATGTCTTGGGTGGAGTTCGAGCACATGTTTACCCCATTCACGCCGTAGATATTCTGGCAGTTTGACCACCGTTCTTCGAAGATTCTCTGTGCTGTACAGGTCCGCCTCATATCCTTGGGCCTGCATGAGCGTGACCGCGCAGTGCAGGGCGGAATGGAAGTACTCTAACGATCGAACACTGTTCTTCTGAGGAGGTTCAGCCGAGAACACTTTCTCGAGATGTACCTTAATCACATCCGTGCTTCGGCCGAAACGATCTTGTAGAGTTTTGAGGGCTTGTTGGTAGAGGTTGCCGTCAAATAACATGCCAGCGATGGCTTCTTGCGCTTGTCCCATCACTGACACTTGCAGATGAGCCATTCTTTCCGCGTCGCTGAGCGATGGCTGGTCGTGCACGAGCGCTCGGAACAGTCCGATCCAGCGCGGCCACTCAGACGGCTTGCCTGAGAAGGTCGGCAGCTGGAGACGGGGGATGCTCTTCGTGAACGCGGATGTCGTAGGAGCCGGACGTGGTGCAGCTGTCGGTCGCAGCTGATCTATCCATGACGTCTGGCTTGTGGACATACCGGGACTGGGCGCCATTCGTGGAGGTTCTAGTTGCGGAGGTTCTTCTCTGATTTCGGTTAGAGGTTCTAGAGGTTCTCTGGGCGTAATGGAGACTGGCTCGGAGAAACGAAGTTGTGATCTGAAACAGTTCGGCCTTTGAGAAACGCTTTTCTCGATGATTGGTTCTCCCAGATTTTCATCCACAAAATCGTCTCGCCTGTCTGCATTGAGCTCGTCTTCCATTTCTTCCCTCAGGTCTGCCTCCAGTCGGGCAGCTTCAGCTTCATCTCTGGCTTTCTGAAGGTCTCTCTCGTATTGCAGTTCTTGCTCTTGTTGCTTTATCTTTTGTTCTTGTTCGCGCAGCTCTTGTTCTCGTGTCCTTTCTCGCTCCAGCTGGCGCACACGCAACTCCTTCAGTTTGGATGATATCCTGGCTTCAGCTGATGCCTGAGAGGCCGCCGAGCTGCCACTAACCTGTGACCTTGCTCGGCGAGCGACGCTACGGGTCATGCGTGACACTGAGCGTCCCAAGCCGTCTTCAGGTTGCCCTCCTCCATCCTCGCTGAAGTCAGTCTGTCTCGTAGAGGTCAGCTGTAGTTCGTCTGTGGTGCTTGTCATGAAAGTCTCGATTTTCTCCTCGATTCTCTCTTTCTCCGTACGAACTTCGTTTAAGTACTGAGCCTCATTTTCTTTTTCTTCCTCACTCTGCGTGTATCCAGAGATACATTCGTGAACGGCCATCAACGCTTGGAAAGCGCTGTCCATTTCTCTGCGGATATTTCCAAGCTGGACGCGTGAGGCTCTATCTGTCACGAGAGCTTCAGCGCGCCGGAAAATCCTTGTGAGAGCCGCCCGATGACGACCTCTCACCTGTCTGAGGTGCCGCCACTCCCCGTTGGAGCATTGGCCTTCTCGTGGTTCCTCTTGGGCTGTAGTCACTGCAGCTTGTCCTTGACCTGCAGCGGCTGGTTCAGCTGGTACTTCTTCCATGTCAGCGGTTTCTTCTTTGTCACTTTCCCCCATTCGCTCTAGAGACGGGCTTGCTTCTCCACTTGCCATAGCTCAGGATCCGGCCCGGAGGACCAGCAAATGTCGCCGACAAACTGTCGTTCGGAGTTCTTTTCTGGTTGGATGTGGACTGTATTTTGTTCGGTGAGTTTGTGCGACATTCGTAGCCCATCGGGCCCAGCAAATGTCGCCGACAAACTGTCGTTCGGAGTTCTTTTCTGGTTGGATGTGGACTGTATTTTGTTCGGTGAGTTTGTGCGACATTCGTAGCCCGCCCGCCTGCTATGTGAGCTCCTGGGTTTTGATATTCGGCGATTTACAGTTGAAGATAGACGTGAAGATTTCCCGTAGAGGATTTATTGAAGTATACGCGAAGCAAGAAGCGGAAGCAGTTGTGAAGAAAACCGGTAGATGAAACACGCAGACACGGAGCACCATTCACTTTCGCTGTACAATCTGAAGCACTGACACTGCCCCGCTGGGCGCGGCTGCGCGCAGGAGAGTCGGTCTGCGCGCGTGCTTCTGTACTCTGTCCCCGCTCAGCCGGGCGAGGCGTCGAGCGGAGCAGATCAGTCCGTGCGCACAGCGCGACGGTCGAAGTGAGACTCTGCCGGGGTCGCACGTGACCCACATTTTATACGCAATGCTTAAGACGTGTGCAAAACGAGTGCAAACTTGCACTGCAGCGGGGAGGTGGCTGAAGGCGCCAGCTTGGCGGCCTACGTGCCTTAAAACGACGTGTCTTTAATTTATATCTCGGTCTCGGTGGCGGCCGCGGCGCTGCTACGGCTCGGCAGCGTCGGCGGCACGCGTACCGACCGCCGGCCGCGTCTGCTCGCGGCCCCGCCCTGCACAATGCCTCACAACTCATCCTGAGTCTGGATGGGGTGACGGCGGTGCGGCGGCGGGACGGCTGCAGCGAGCGGCGGCGGCGCCGCGGTGGCACGGCGGCCGGCCGGCTATCACGGCGGCACAGCGGTAGCGCGGGTTGGTCCGAACACTTTCGTCGGTGACACCATTGTTATTTATTTCATGGGCTTGCATCGTGCAAAGCCCATTTAAAGTTTCATATATGAAGAACGTTGACAAGCTTTCTATGTCAGGTTTGTTGTGAAAGACTTCTTTCACCGTCTGGTTGTCCAATGCATCAAGTGACGTAAGACCAAAGCTCATGCGAACGCTTGCAGTTGATGTTTATTCCACTATTTTTCAAGGTCAGGTACCAGTTGCCTTGCGAAGATGATCTTAACCAGCTCGTTCTTATTCTATACTGATCCTTGACAGTATTTGCCAAGACCCTCCTAAGTTACTAGCAAACCTGGCATCATTTTGACATGGATTTCGTCATTTGTGACTTGAGCCGTCAATCGACGTGCCCCATTTCTGGGTGTGAAGTCCAGACGTCTGTCTGGTCTGTGTTCCCCCGCCGGGTCTGCTGAGATGCGTGGTCTGCCTGTCAGTCAACTGCTCCATGCCCTGGCGGCTGGAGGGTCTGCCGGGATCCTAGCTCTGCCTGTCGATCCCACTGTCCGCGGCGACGGCTCGGTGTTGTGCTGGAGCCGAGGTCTGTTTGTCAGTCGCGCTGTCCCGGCGGCGGTCCGGCGCCGTGCCGTGCACTGGGCCGGGTTTTCCGGGCCCACATTCCGCGGCGTGCCGGGGCCGCCGGGGGCCGGGCCGGGGGCGGGGGCTTTCTGGTAGGTCTCCCTGTCCGGTGGGAGGGCCGCGGTCTCAGCTGCCGGCGGTCGGACCCTCCGTCCACCCGGCCGGATGACGTCATGGGTAGAGAGCGAGGAATGTCGGTCAGTGGACCCACCTGCCTGGGAATCACCTGCCCGGTCTCGGTACCTGCTCACCTGCCGGCTGCCTCGGCTGGCTGGCATTTGTCTATTATCACCCAGACGAACCCTCACAGTGGCCGGGACGGTCCCCGTCTGTTTCTTAGCAGAATCCTCCCCGTGTCGACTTGAAGGGATTCCCGTATCCCACCTGTGTTCACCGGTCATGTCCAAGGGGCAATACAGTCGTCATTAGACATATAACCTTGTCAGGCTCTCGGATCGTGGTATTTTCCATTCTGTTTTACGTTCTGTAACTTCTTACTTGCTTTTTGCTACTTGTTCTTATAACTTGTTATTGTTACTTGTACTTGTTCTTCCTTGTTGAATTGAATACGAACGCTACCTTTGTTTCATACTTTTGAACCCTAAGCTCAACTTTCAGCATTCCGCGCCCTTCTCGGAAATTGGACGCTATTGCGTGCTAGTACCTCAGGACCAGTGCAGACATCGAGCAACAATGTCTCACAGGCGCTGATGATGTCGGATGACTTGTTGATCAATAGTGGGGGCATCAGCTTCCGCCATATTCTGTCAGTCTTATAATCTGTTTGACTGGGCATGATGATTTGATGAGACTGGAATGATTTTCTGAGGATAGTTTCTGTGCATCGGTGGGTGGTTGTGTATCTTTCTTAGTCATGCTTTCTAGTTTGATTTACCGTGGGCATTTGTTTATTTTTGCTGTGTCCTGTTGGCCACCTCTGCCGATGTTTGCAAATGCAACAAACTGGCTCAGCACTCATCAGCGGGTGATGATTCATGCGAATCACGCCTGCATACGTCGTTTGTTCTAATGAGCTGTTCATATTTATGTCTCTGCTGTGACCGGTTGATTTGACCTGTCAATAGTCTAATGCGCCTCGGCTATAGATCAACAAACCGATGTGGGTCGGGCCGTCGCTCGGCTCGTTGGCGCCGTGATTTGTCAGCACCGGGCCGTCATCGGTGACCGATGACGGGAAGGGAGGAGCTCTCTGTAGCCTTGGGAAGGGAGCCGGCGCCGCTCGGCACTGGGCCTTCAAACGGGACACGGTGCTGCCTGGTGATGGGGCGCTGGACAGAGCTTTTATAGCGCTCGGGTATGGGCAGGCGGGGAGTCCAGTTAGTATAAAAATGTTGCGAGTATACGAGTACAACTTGCAATCCACTCTTCGCGAGAAATTTCAGTCGTGTGTCGGTTCGCTTACGGACAATGAGTCTCACATTTAATCGACTTCACCACCAGTCAGTAGCAAGAACTAGTGGGTCATTCTGTCGTCGATATCCGTGCGCTGTTTGTTTCTCGCATTGTTGATATTCTGGGGCATTTCTTACCCATGCATTGCCGCTCTTTGTTTATCTACATGTTCAGTTGCTTGTTTACTCCAAACATGGCTATGTCGAACTTAATCACGAGGTTCATTGATAACTTAAAGAACTGATGATATGACGATGATGATGACCTGTGCACCCTTCTGCTCAGTGTCTCTCCCCCCCCCCCGTCCGCCCACCTGACCGTATCTCTCGTCCTCTCGCCAGGTCCCGCCACGGTGCAGATGGTCTCGACCAACTCGTCGCCGCCGATGGCGTACCCGGTTCAGGTACCTCCGGGTCACATGATGCAGCAGGTGGTGGACGGAACAGGTACCCTGCGGCACGTCATCCTCTCGCCGGAGCCGAGAGCGCTGGCCACCATGCCGCCCTATGTGAGTGACGGGGTTGAGCTGAGGCCGCTCTAGGTTTCTGGGTGGGGCTGGGATAGTGGGACGGATGCTACCATACCATAGGCGCGGGAGCCGGGGGGGGGGCAGTGGGGGCAGCTTGCCCCCCCCCCCCAACTCTGGGGCCGTGGGGGCGGTGCCCCCACAGCTTTGAGACGGAATACCACACTTTTTTGCAAATGTTTTCTTTTTTTGTTGAAAAAGCCGAGGGGTGAAAAATAAGTGGCCTAAAACCGGTGAGAAAACTAGATTTGGGGGTACCCTAGGTTTATCTCTATTATGGTGTGCCCCCCCCCCCCCCCCAGTCGGAAAGTAGTTCCCGCGCCCCTGTACCATACCGCCTTGTGTGTGTGGCTTGGTGGGCTAAGGCGGTAGGACTGAAGCCACCATGCCGTCCTATGTGAATGACGAGTGTTATCAAAGGCTGACGCGGTGTCGGAAACTGGTACTGCGGGGCTTAGGGACTGGTAGTTTGTGGATAAAGGAATGGAGTTGTGTAGGACTGAGCGTCTGGTTACTTGGACCTGAGAGTGGGCTGACTAAGATGCTTAGGTTCCACGCCTGTGACGGAGGAGCCGGGAGTCTGGATGTACTAAGGCCCGACAAGCTGATTTTGCCATCTGAGGGATCCATTCCGGATATGCAATTCCGGCAGGCCGTAGACGTCTAGCAAGTTTATGACGCTGACGTTACCATGTGGTCACAGTTACAATGAAATAGAAGTCAGGACATGAAAGAGTTGTCACGATATAACGTGTAATATTCTATCGGCATTGTTCCACGCTTAAATGTACGATGCTCAACATTGTTTTGTTATTTTGGCTATGCTTGCAAACGTTGGGAGTGCAGCGCACTTGCGATTGTTCTGCTTTGCTTTTGCTTTCAAAAGCTTTTGCATAGATCGCCAAGCCAACTGTATTTTTAAAAAGTTGTCCAGTCTCTTCCGAGGTGATAAAGTGCTGTAAACGCACTGCCCACTTCCACTTCCGTTCGCCTCGCCTTCCCTCGATTAGTTATGCGGTAGTTATATAACTTATCAGTTATGTAAGCTATAGTTACGTAACCAACACCAGTCTAGATTGGGCATAAACAGACATTGATTGTTCGAAACAGTGGGCTGGATGGCTAATTATCAATCTTCATGACGCCGGAATTGTCTTTCGATTAATTATCCGGACGCAACGCTCCACTGACTTCCATCGGAACGACCTCTTTCGACGTTTATATCAACAGACTTCTCTATTTACATGTTCGCTTCGATCGGCTGTGTGCTGGACATTTATTGAAGCCTAGGTCGGCCTGCCCGGCGCGCTGTTCGTATGCCTTTCTGCCGTTCGCTCGTTGGAGACAGACGGACGAAACCAAGTGTCCCGGTGTGTGGGAGCAAAGAGCCCCAATATCGCCACTGAAGCTAGTTGTTTGATTGGTGGCTCCTATTGGCTGCGGGGACAGTCTCTTGCCTCACAAGAGACTAATCTCTGTGTGTCAGACTGTCCTCTGTGACAGACTGTCTGTTCTCATGGTGTCTGGCGTGGCAGACTGTTGTCAGGCTGTGTGATGTGGCAGACTGTGTTCTATGACAGACTGGTTGTCGCGGGGCGGCGGGCGAGGAGTGTCAGACCGGACCAGGGTGGCTAGTGGGTGCAGTATTCCCCCCCCCCCCCCCGCCCTCCCGGAACAGTCGGCCAGGCCCGGGCCGGAGCCGGAACTCGCCCGTCGTCGGCCCAGGCGGCGGCTGATCAGCCCGCAGCCCACCGCTGGGTCCGGGCCGGGCCGGGCCGAGTCGCCGGTAGCCGGGCCCGGGCTCCCAGCACCGTCTGAAGGCCGGCCTGCGGTCTGCAGACGGAGCCCGCCACAGACGTCGTGTGGTGGCGATCGGCACCACTGGTGATACGTCTTTTCGTCGGGGTTAACCCCTTAGTGATGAGTCTGTGCAATGTGCATCTGGGATAACCAGTAGCCTGGTATCGCATTTACGGTTGGCTGATGACTCATTTTATGTATGAAAGGCTCCGATAGCGAAGGTCAATAACTAGCTCGATCACGGCTGACACTATTTGCTGTTCTTCTGTTTATCGTTCTAGTGACTCAGTATAGTGATGACGCGTGATCGTCACACAAATAACTTCGTGGATAAGATACAACGCACTATTTCACTGTGTGGCTCAGCAGGGGCATTCCCATTGATTATTTGACGTTCCGTTTTATCATCTGTTGACGCATCAGACGTTTTCATAGCAAAAGTTTCAGCTAATACTTTTTTTAGGTCACTAAGCGAGGTGCCCCTCTAAATCCAAGCTCTGGTTGAGCTCAGCACTGTCAACATTGTCTGTCGTTCTCAGCCCCCACTGCAGCGCTGTGTCTGAGAGGGGGTGATGGGGAGGGGGGGGGGTCTATCGGCGCCGTGTGGCAGCCCCGGCCACGTCCGCCAGCCGTCTCACCCACCGGTGACTGGGCGGGCGCTGATTGGCTGAGCCGCCGCCGTCGGCCGTACAGCTGCTGCCCGCGGCTCAGCTGAGCTGACGGCCGACGGCGAGGGGCAGCGCGCCCCGGCGACCCCCGCTGACCCCCGGTGACCTCCAGTGACCTCGGTGATTGGTCGCTCGGTCGGGGTGGCCCGTGACCGATCGACTGCGCGCGGTGCCGGTCCGTTAGACGTTGCCCCGGGCGCTGATGGGGGCACCAGCTGTTCGGCCTGCGTCGTGAGTCGATCCATCGTGTTGCCGCGGGGCAGTCGGTCGGCCGGCAGTCTGGTGGGGGTTGTTGCTGGGGCCGTCCGCGGGCCGGGACAGTGGAGGCGGCGGAATATTGAGAACAATAGACGACATCGGACTGTGGACGACCGACCTGTCGGTTTGTATATCGAGCATTGTTTGCCGTGTTGTGGGAAATGTCGGAGGGTCTGAAGGTGGGGTATGTGTCCGGTGGTCGTGTCAATGGCTGACATCGGTCTGACCAGATGTTTTTCATATTGACGCTGCCTTGTTGCTGTATTTGTGGACTTGTCTCTCTTGTGTTTGTGGGGCCTTTATGGCTTTTGTAGTTGGCCTTTCTTGACCTTGTAAGTGAGACTATGTGAGAAGCTATGTTTATGATTGCTGAAGACTTGTGACCCACAAACTGTTGTATGTACAGTCCACAGCAGAAGTAATGTGCGGTTTCAGTCGTGGGTATGTTCTGCTTCTGAAGCTTAGGAACGATTAGCCAGACTACAATGAAACTTTGAATGTAGCTTACATGTATCGTCACCTTTACAGCTGCAACTTCATCTATTGACGTTTTCTTTTCGATCACTCCGCATAAAAAAATCGTCGGTCAAAGCCATCCTTTGAGATTGGTAAAACCGCACATTACTTCAGCGGTGGGCTGTACCTTGGTGTATAAGACTGTATGAGAATTTCTTATATTAATATGCTGCAACTCAGTTGAGGTTTGATGCTGCTCCGCAACTGGTGTTAATAAAAAGATGCAACCTTAGATTGGTGAACAGGACCGGGGATATTTCACGCGACCTCTAGTCTCTGACCCTTGTGGCCTGAGACTCGTGACCTGTGATATTCCAGATATGATACAAGTGATCACCTGTGACATCTTACCGGTACCATGTCATCTCTGACCTGTGACCTGTGCTATCACCTCTGACCTGTGGCCCTCTACCCTGTTTCAGAGCACGAGCCAGCCGCCGCCGCCGTTCTACCCGGCCCCTCCGCCGCCGCAGGGGTTCGGTCCACCCCCGTACCCCCCTCACGCCATGTACGGAGCGGGGGGACAGCAGACGGGAGCCGGTCTCCTGGCGGCTGGAGCAGCGCCCATGCAGCAGGGTGAGTACTGGACACATTGCGGTACTTGCAATGGGGTACAGAGGGTAATCAACAAAGAGAACTGAGGACTAAGTTCACTGGACATGCTGAGAACACCTAGCGAGATGTTGAGGGAGATCGTCAAATGTCAAACACCAGACATAGTCAAAATCGAACACCGATCAGTGGAAGAGATGCATTCTAGACCACAGAGAGCACAGGAGTGGGAGCCTGGTACCGAAGATAGTGAATATATCACCTGAACAAGGAGCAACGAATACTGATGAACAGTGAATACAAACAGTGCAAAGGTCTTTGCAGAGTGCTGTAGCCACTGCCGCCACCATATCTGCTTGGCAACTTTAGTGAAACAAGTCCGAATGTTTTGGCTGAGTATTAAATTTCTGAACTCAGAACTGATGGTGTGCTGGACCAATGGCTGTTTGTTGACGTTTCCCAGGCGATCAGGAAATACTGGTCAGACTGAAGAATGCAAAGTGAAATTCTTTGTACTTATATTGTGGTGCACATATCGTCTTACCTCCGGTTTCGTGTGGTCTGTAACGGGAAAGAGGCCCCCGTCGGTGCACTCGGCGTACTTGCGTTATCTCGTATGTATGTGCTTCCGACACGAGCAAAACAAACGCCAACTAATCTGATGCCATAAAACAGACACCATCACTGTAGGAAGAGGCTTCTGTGCGGAGCATAAAGTGACTTATGATGTCCGGGTCTGGGATGCCCATAAAACAACGCCACGGTGGCTCATATTGCAGAGTGGATCTCTCAGTTAGCTGCCTTTAGTTGCAGCGCTGTTCTCTGTGCAAGACAGCGCTGTAACCCAGCTGGAGCTCCACAGGACATCTGACCGGAGGTGTTGCACTGGCCGCTGCTGTTTTGTGTCTTTCGCCGCGCTGATCTCATCCCTCTGGGTTCGGCCGGCTGTGGAGACACGTCCTGGCTGATGTGCAGCAGAGGCGGTCCCTGACCAGTTTTTGAGGACGGTCGCGGCCATTCATCGGCTGGCTTCCGCTGCCGACGCGCTATCACAGCTCTGAAACTAGTTCGCTGGCGCCGTGCTCGGTCCCGTGCACCGAGTTTCCTGCGCCGCTCCGTCCCACCAGGCGGTCTGACCCCGTGCGCCCCCGGAACGCGCGGCGTGTGCCGACCGACAGCGTTTATGACTCGTTTATGAGGCGCTGGGTCGGTGCGATGGCCCGACCATCGCCGTGTGCGCGGTGATAATCGTCGCCGTCCGCCGGCCCCCGTCGACAGCGGGCTGTGCAGCGGGCCTGTGGTGGCGACTGTGCCGGATTTCCGCCTGCCACTCGTCGGCCGCCAGTCAGCACTGTTATGACGGTGAGCTGATGACGCATGTAGGTCCGTCTGTCGACCGCCGGTCCCCTCCGGGGGTCAGCGGTGAGTACGCTGTTGGTGCTGTCACCAACCGGGGCGGCTGGCTGGGCGATCACAGGGGCGGGTCCCGGATCAGCCAGAGCTAACGGTAGACTGGGTCAGCGGTGAGCTGGGAACCGTTCAACGAGAGGTGTAACACCGTTCACCGATCGGTGCGGCTGCTCCAACGAACATTTCAGTTGAGCTGAAGCCTTTCTTCTTACCTCTCGTCCTAAAGAATAAAGATCTTGGGACTCAGGGCCCAGATCAGCACTAGCTGACTGCTTCTCAAGCGATGGCAGTGGTCGTGGTGCTGTCTTCAATGTTTGGATGATTTTTGATGCAGCACAAGTAACTGTTAGCAATCGGTCGGAATATTCCAACATTTTTAGGCTTTGTTGTAGGTTTGATGGGTGAAACGTGTCTTGGTTTCATTGTCGTAAATCCATCAGTTCTTTGTAAAGAATTGTTGCTTGTCATTCGGAAATACTTTTTGTATTGTAGGAGAGTATTTTTCAAGCTGCGGTGCTTCTCAGAATTATTGAGGCTGCCAGATAAGCCAAACATATTTTCGTGCTCTTCGCCATCCATCCGGTCGGCCTTATCTTCCAGCTCTTCGCCTTGTTACGTAAGCACGTGCCTCTGAGTCAGTGAGGTCAACTGCGCGTTAGGGCCGCGCTGTTTTTAGCGCCCGGACCGTCAGCCGCCATCCTCGCCGTTAGCGCCGCTGTTCTTGTTGAGCCTGATTGGCTGCGTCTCGGATTGCAGCGGTGGAGAGCCGGCGTCGGCCGCCGCCTCCCCGTTCCCAGTACTCCCGGAATCGCCGGCCGGGCGCCGCCGACGGGAGCAGTTGGTTACGGCCGCCCCCGCCACCGCCCACGCCGCCGCTCGCCGCTCGGAGACACGGCCTCATGGGGAGGCTTCCGGCGGCCGACGGCGCGCGCGGGCGGCCGTCTGTCCGTCTGCCCGTCGCCGCCGACCGTCCCGTCAAGGGCGCGCCGCCGCCGGCCCACACGACGCGTACGCGTGCCGGTCGCCGGGGCTGGCGGCCGGCCAGAGTCAATGACCGAGCGGCCGCCCGGCGCGGCGGTCAGAGGAAGTGACGGTCGCCGCGGACTAGAGTCGGGAGGACGGCCGAGCGGTGGCCGAGAGACGCCTCTCCCGGCCGGCTGCGGGCTCCTCGGGGCCGTCTGTCTCAGCGCGCCGTTTGAGCCAGTTAGCTGTGCTGACCGCAGCGGCGGACCTAGCTGGGCCGTGGAGCAGTCTGACCCAGTAGCAGCTTGGTGTTCTCGCATTTCTAGCCACCGCTAACCAGCTGTCCCACACAACAGGTGCCTGATGGTCGCGTGACGCCCGTTTTTTTATGTCCAACACGTGCACCGACTCGTGTGATCATTCATTCATTCAGACCTTCATTCATTCATCCATTCACCCGTTCACACATTCATTGAGCCATTCACGTGAACCCATGTCTACTTGGTCATATTTGAATAAATATTTATATCAATTACTGCGTGGTGTTGCGTGGTAATGCCACATTCATCTGATCGCTCAGTACCCCCTTATCTCATTCCACGAGATATACAGTGCACGCAAAGTGTGCCGGTGCCGGCTTTTGACGATCAGCAGTCGCGCAGTATTTGAAAACAGACCAAATCGCAGCGATCTGACGCGATATTTAGTCTACTCGAGGCCGGTTTGCACGAACCCAGGCGGGCTGTCGCTGCCAGACATGTTCTGTATACTCGGCTGGCCTTCCGGCCGACGCCCCAGGAATGTATCGGCGGCTGTGATGTTGCGAAACCAAGGATTATCATCGCTGAACTACTTTTGAAATTCGCATGTCAGTCGCATCATGGAATGTTTACTTATGTCACGGCCGCGTCTGGCTTATTGTTTTGCCTTGTGATGTGGATCTTATCTTGTGCTGAACAGGTTAGCGTTTGCTGATCTTGGGCTTTGTTCGTGTGAGCCACTTCGCACCTGGTCACTGTCATGTATTGAACATTGTCTGAATGGCTCCTCTGTGCGGTCACGAAGATCGAAGTCGAGCTGGGGCAGTCACCTGCGCTCCGCAGCGGTTAGTGCCTCTGCCTATCCTCCGGCCTCGTCGCGTAATAATAAGGCTGGGTCGATGCCTGGGCAATGTCTAGGTCACGTCAGAGTCACTTTGCGAGTTACGTCGCGGTCGCTGGGCGGGTCTGTGTAGGTCATGTCGGGGTCGGCGCCCTGGTCACGTCTTGGTCATGTCTAAGTCGTTGGGGTCACAACGTGTGTCGCGTTTGAGCCGCGGTCCGGGTCGCCGTGTGGGGTCGCTCGCCTGCCCGCCGGTGACCCGTTCACGAGGATCGCTGACCGGTCGGCCGGCCGTCTGGCTGCGCCTCCTCCGTTATCGATCGGAATGCGCTGCATAATGAGTAGGAAGGCGGTGCCGGGCACCGCGTGCGCGCCCGCCGGCCGACTGCCGCTGCGAAACGACCCTGACCGGTGCGGCGCCGAGCTCTGGCGGTGATGGGTGCGCGCTGCCCGCAGGCTGCGGCGTTACCTGGCACCAGCCGCTCAGACACCCCACAAATAGCCGTCGCCGCTGCCGCCTTTGTCTCCTCCGAGTGGCCTGTCGATTGGGATTGACGGGGCTTGACGGGATTGACGGCCGTCCCTCCTCTCGTCCCTGGCTTCCTACATGGCATGGATTAGCACACCGTTAGTGGCTCCCGGTCGGGCGAACGGGAACTGAGTGATGAGCGGAGGCTGCTGATGGCTGACGCTCGTCCATGGAAGTGGTATCTGTGATAGTGGGCGTTTGAAACTAGCTGTGCTTACAGCTTAGAGCGCCCCGACTTTTCGGCTTAGTTCATAGGGCATGTCTGATGGTGTCGCACCGCTTTCTCACGCCTTGAGTGGGTGTCTAGTCAATCGCCATCTGACGTCAGTGTCTGGTATCGGTAGCCGGTCTGGCATACCGTGATTGCTCCCGAAGTCGCGTCAGACCACCGCCGGCTGCACCCTGCAGGCAGATCCAGCCGGCTGGCCGACCAGCTCCTGTCTGAGCCGTGCCTTCCCAGACGGTGGCGGCGACCCCTCCCCTCGGCCGTGTCCCTCAGCGTCCTTGTCTGGCCCGGGGCGGCCGCTGGTGCACAGAGTCGCGCGCCCCGCCCGCAGGGGGCACAGAGTGGCTCGGCTGGCTTGTGCAACACCCTGCTGAGAGAGACGAGATGAGCTGATCGGCGTGGGCGTCGGCGTCGGCGGGGACCGACTCAGTGGCCGTCAGCCGCTGTTTATTGATATAATGCCACACTGACTGTGTATGCTCAGAAGTGATTCTGATCTCACAGCGTCAGGCTGCGCGGGCGGCGGAGTGCCGTCAGATCCTTCACAGGGAAAGGTCTCTCCGCCTCGGCGGGGGTGGCGTACCCGGACCTGTTGGGATGCTTACCGGCCGGCGGACGGTGGGAATCCCACTGCCCTGTCGCGGTGGGATGGCCCGCTTACTGCCCCCTCCCTGCCTCAGCCCCTCTGCGGCGGCGGCGGTAACTACGCACATCGCGCGCGGCGCCGCTGTTATGGCCAGTCCGCCGCTAATCCCTTCCCCGTCACCCGGATGTTTTTGGAAGCTGCGGAGCGGCCGGGTAGGCGCGATTTCACCAGGAGCACAGACGGGAACCCGCACCGTGATATCCATAATCAGAGCCGCAGTCCATGACCCATGACTGTGACTCCGTGCTCCATGGCTCTGTTATTCCGTTTCGAACTTTTCCAAACTGTTGGTAATTGCACCAGTTGCTGAGGGGCTATGGAGGACAATCATTACTGTCATAACAGATGCCTCATTAAAGCCAACACAAAGTTCGGCTGGGCAACACTACCCTCATTAACAACCGAGCTGATGAGTGCTCCGAGAGCGTTACCCGTTCGTGAGATCCTAGTGTGTGTGCAGTGTGCAGTATGACGCGCTTAGGTGAGCATAGCATCACTAATGCGAGCGCCCAGCGTTGTGCGAATAGGTTTGCACCGAGATCCGGCTTCCAACACATCTGATAATGGCGTTGTTAATGTACCTCGGGTTATCTCAGCATTGATATCATCACACGCTAGCTGGGACACTGTTGAAGCAACAACTGCAACTGTTTGCTCACAGCACCAGGAGCACTGAACTTCAGCAGCTGGAACAACACGAGCCCGCGCGGCCGGCCGGTCGGTCGGCTGTTCTCCGGTCAGGTCAGCCGAACCGTGCAGCCCGCCGGCGCCGGCCGACCGTCCTGTCGACCGGGACAGCTGTCTCGTGTCTCAGCGCGGCCGTCTGACGTCCGGGCTCAGTCCGGTGTGGACGGCGGGGTCGCCTCCCCCGCCGGATGCACGCCGGTCTGCACGGCGCGCGTCAGTCCGACGCATCTCCGGACCGAGCTGGCCGGGCCCGGGCCGTGTCCGGCTCCGGGAACGGTGATGTAACCGGCCCGGACCGAGTCCGGAGGTGTCTCTCGGAGACAGTCCGAGTCCCCGCCGAGCCGCCGCTGCCGCCGGCTCCGGCCGGGGCGGCGTTGCTATTGGTTTCAGCAGCTCGACAGTGCCCTGCAGGGACATCGATCGGCCGCCGGCGGCGCCGGCCGCGTGCTGCTGAGGGCGAGAGAGGCCGGAGGCACGCTGTGGTGACCCGCCGAGACGGTCAGAGGGGACGGGACGTCTCCGGCCGCACCCGCTGCTCCGATCAGTGGGGGACGGAACATCACCGGCCGCCGGGCACCCGAAGGGAACGCATCGTGACGGGGGACGGGTGGCTCGTGCACTCAGAGACGGAATGAAACAGATTCGGGTCACCAGTTGACGGAAGATTTGATATCTTTAATGCTGTTGAAAGTCATCCGGCAGACATTTTTGCTTCAACCATTATTGAGTGCCATTGCCAATCAGCTTGAGAATAGCACACCCTGAATGGTATGCAGGACTAAATGTTAACATGATTAACTTGTTTTCGCTGATCGCATTACGCACAAAGTTTCAATACTGTTTCTTGGGTCAACCGACTAAACAAACTTCAAATGCTCCATAGTTACAACATTGACTTATGAGGTATATTTTTATCTTGAGTGATCGCGAAAGTCACAATCCTCCGTGTTAAGGCCGAATTGGATGGGCTTTTCATGCAACTTATTTGAGAAGACGATGGCTTCAGAGCCACTTTCTTTTCTATCTTACGTAGTTTACGTTGTTAATTTGGTAGGTATACAATTTTTTTTCGACATCATCGGCCGTTTTTACCTTGTTTGACGTTTTGAGAGCAAATTGTGATGCCTAATTAGGAAATAGCTCTTTGTTAACGAGCCACGATGGAATTGCTGGAAAACGGTTAGTCCATAACGCAAAAATATGTCTGTCAATAGTCTCATGAAGTCATTTTTGCGTAACATTTTCATAACTGAGCTATTTTCGTACCTACTCAATCAAGGAATCCAGGGATGATAGCAAGACATAAGTTAATGAGCGAGGGTATCTCCTGGAATTATACATTTGTTATTTATTTACAATCATTTCACGAAGCAGTTAACCCATTTGCCATTTGCTTGAACATTTCTGATAGCGGTTTATTTTTATCCGCTGATTCACGATTCTCTGGCGTGCCATGTGTATTCTGGAAGGACGCTTATAGATCAGACCGATATGAGTAGGCTCTTCGATGACTCGGCCTCTGTGCCCGGCTGGCGGCTCCCCTTCCCACCAGACAGACGGGGCAGACGGTAACCATGGGTTACCGCCCATACAACGATCACGTGCACTGTCCACGGCGGAGAGGGGCCTCCCACGCCGGTTCCGTCCCGCCGGTCCTCGTGTGTTGGTACAAAGGACCGAGTCGCCGGCCTGTGGCGGCCGGTCACACGCAAACACGGTATGGCGGCGATGGCGGCGGATAAAAATACACACCGCCGCCGCCAGTGACACTTCGGGGAATTGGCATCCTCCAGAAATACCCTGAGCGTCGTTTGACGTCGGCTGCGGCATCCGGCTGACTTTCGCGGGGGTTAAGGTTACTGGGCGGCCTCCGCCCCCGCCCCCGCCCCCGCCTCCGCCTCGCCCCGCCGGCTAACAGGGCAGCTCGCCCTAGGTGATCATTTATAGAGATGGATGGATTTACGAGTAAGCCGCAGCGAAATACGCCCACAGCATCCGAGCATTGCCTCGCGTCACCATCCTATTTGCGATGCTTGCTGACCTCTGTTTCGTTGATTTGTGTCTTCAGGTCCCTCGCCGCCGCCGCAGCAGACCCAGATGCCGCCGCCGCACGGTCCCAAGGACCAGCGCTCCCAGCGCCGTATCCAGAGGATGCGCCGAAAGCTAAACGAGAAGCAGCGGCCGCCGGCCGGCGGCTCGCGCGCCTCGCCCTCCCCGTCGCCGTCGCCAGGTAGGGGCATCCCTGACGGCCAGTGCAGTGGAGAGGCGGACAACGCTGATGGATAGAGGCGGGCATCACTGGCGGGAACGGATAGTAAAGCCCGATTCTGCTTTGTTCCTGTTATATTCTGCTATTCTTCGTGTGGAAAATGTGTTCTGCCCATAATGCGATGCAGCAGCATATGTAATCGTTCTCATATGCTAAAATTTGGCTAATATCAATCGATGCACCAGCGATGTATGTAGATACCGTAGACGGCCTTCTTGTCCGATTTGCGTCGCAGACGCGTTTTTGTTTGTCTGGCTTGTCTACGTAAAAGACATCGATCCACCTAGGTGTCCTGACACTGCCGCCGTGTATCCGCGGCCGTGGACCGTGGCGCCGAGACGTTACACTGAGATGTGACGTTAAATCATCACATTCAGACGACGTGAGACCGTGACGTGACGTTTGCTCGCCCTCAGGTGACCACAAGAACGGCCGTCGCACCGCCTCTGAGCCGGAGGAGAATGGAGAGCCGAGTGGGGACAGTACCAGCTCCGTGTGTAGTCAACAGGACGACGAGGACCGAGCCGTCTGCGAGTTCCTCTCCAAACTGCGGCCGCCGCAGGTTAGAGCGAAACGTGGGGTCAGCTAAGTAGTGGAGGCGCTACTGTTTGGAATTATTTACATGGAATTCGTGGATATTTGGTGACTCAATAATGCCTGGAAGCTTGATTGTGATCGCAAGATGTCTTAGATGTTTGAGCTTGTTGAACCGATGTTCAATATCGGCATTTGGCAAGACTGTGGCAACACATGCAATATGCATACTACATCCGCTACATCGACAATCTATGTGCAGCAGGAACATGACGAACAACTATACCCGAACACAGTGGAGCAAGCATTTATAAAAATGATTATTAACTGCTTAGCAACTGACCGTTTTTGTGTTATGTGACCGTTAGGTGTCAGAGATCACGCGCGGCTCGGCGCTGGTTAGCTGGGCGCACCCGGACGTCACCGTCGACCAGCTGAGTATTGCGCCCGACCAGCTCAGCTACGAGCTCAGTATGGCTGAGAGCCGCTCGGGCTCCGGAGGCAGCGCACCGCCGCCGCCGGCTGCCTTCCGGCGAGTGTGCGCCGACAGAACTGTGTCGGCAGAGCTGACACAGCTGCGACCGGCCACCACCTACTACCTGACGTGAGTGCCGCCGGGCGGCGCTTGGCGCTTCTGATATTGTGGGGCCTGTGTATTTTAAGTACACTATGTGTGCTCAGATTATGGATTAATGCTAAGAAAGAAGCAAAACATCCTTGCTTAGCTGCATAATTTATGCATTGTCATGCATGTCGTATCTGCCACTCGACGACGCTTCGTGCAATACAGTTATGGGGAGTCCCTTTCTGAATGTTTGAATAATTAGTGGGATGGAATACAGTATTGACGTGCGAAGCGTCACAATTTGACCTGTCTGGCCGTATGTAGCCTGTATTCGCAGCCGTCAGTAAGTCTGACCCGTCTGTGTGTCAATGTTTCCAGCCTGCAGTGCAGTCTTGCAGCTCTGCAGGGCACCGTCACCGCGCCTGTGAGCTTCACCACGCTAGCGGCACCCCCAGAGCAGCCGCGGCCGCCCACACTTCTTAGCAAGACCAAGACCAACCTCCACGTCAAGTGAGTGGTTGTTGCAGTGGGCCGCTGGGCACGGGGGGGGGGGGGGGCACAGGGAACGCATAGTCGCCCATTAGAGCACAGGAGCACGGGAGCATCTGTCCCTTCCTAACCCGGGGGCCGGGGCTCCCGGCACTGGTGTTGACTTTCGACAAGCTTCTGACGGTGGTGTTGTGGTTTAGGTTGGTAAGGTCAGAGCTGCACTTGATGCCAATCATCAGTGTGCAGAGCGCGCGCCCGTTGACAAAGCTTGGAGTGCTGCACGTGTCGTGTTGTATGCAGGCATTGAATATGAACGATTCTCAGAAGTTTCACACTGTATCCTTTCAATGGCCGTTGCAGTGTCACGGTATCACTGCCCCTCTCAGAGCCCTACATGGCGGACCGGCGAGACCCGTCTCTCCGTCCCTGTCCAGTGTTCACACCCCCGGTCCCCTGTCCTCAGGTGGTCGGCGCCGGCCGACAACGGCTCGCGGATCAGCCAGTACGTGCTCGAGTGTGACGCCGGCCAGGGTTTCAGCGAGGTGACGCGCTGCCGCAGCAAGCAGCACACGGTGACCCACCTGCAGCCGGCCACCGCCTACCGGCTGCGGGTGGCCGCCTGTAACGAGCTGGGCCAGGGCCCGTTCTCTGAGCTGGTGACGCTGCAGACGGCCGGCCTGGTGCCGCCGCCGCCCGAGCCGCCGCGGCTCGACGAGGCCACCGCCGCGCAGCTGTCGCTCAGCTGGAGCCGGCGGCCCACCGATGACTCGTTCGACGTGCACATGGAGAAGGACGGCTCCAAGTACGGCTTCCTGGCGCTCTACAGTGGGCCGGACACGCGTCACCGGGCTAATGGGCTGACCAGGAACACCAGCTACCGGTTCAAGGTGAGTACACCGCACAGCTACTGGTTCCGGGTGAGTCTACTGCGCCAACGGGCTGACCAGAAACACCAGCTACCGCTTCAAGGTGAGTCCACCGCGCCACCGGGCTGACCAGAAACACCAGCTACCGCTTCAAGGTGAGTTCACCGCGCAGCTACCGGTTCAAGGTGAGTTCACCGCGCAGCTACCGCTTCAAGGTGAGTCCACCGCGCCAACGGGCTGACCAGGAACACCAGCTACCGGTTCAAGGTGAGGTCACTGGGCTGGCCAGGAACACCAGCTACCGGTTCAAGGTGAGTACACCGCACTGTTACCAATTCAAGCTGAGAGTTCTCTGCTACCGGTCTACCGACTCACGTGAACCCAGCGTTGCTCATAGCTGAACTGTGGGAACGAGCTGGTTTGGATCCCCTTCTCGGTTTTGTCTTTATTCTTTTACGCGTCCGTTGAAGTTATGTTCCAGTAAGATAATATTGCAACTGATTTAGTTCTTAGGAAATCGATGACTCCTGGATATTGTTCTTACCAATATGGACTGGACTGTCACCTGTTTATGTGTATTGTACATGTTGTGTATGTTGTTGGTGCGTGGTCCTGTTTCGTCTCACCTGTCTCACGTGTTATTTTGCGTTTGTGCGCCCTCAGCTGCGGGCGATTAACGAGGAGGGGGCCTCTCGCTGGTCGGAGACGGTCAGCTACCGGACGTGCTGCCTGCCGCCGGCGGCTCCTGCCCGGCCGGCGGTGAGGGGCCGGGTCCACGCACACCAGGCGCGTGTGCGCTGGGAGCCTCCGGCCGACACGGGCGGCGGGGGGATCGCCGAGTACCGGCTGCAGCTGCTGAGCGCTGGCGGCCAGTGGACGACCGTGTACAGCGGCGCCGAGCTGGAGCACACGGTGACCGGCCTGCAGCCGGGCACCGCGCACCAGATGAGGGTGAGTGGATACGGGACGGTGACACCATATCCCAACGGCATTGTCAGTCTGTGTGAAAGCGAGGGCTGAGGGCGCTGTGTAGCTTTACTGGCCGGCCTGTCCTTGTGTTGTGCGCTGTGCTTACTTAGTCTCTCTGTGTCCCATTCGTGCATCTCGGACGTTTTGTTAGAGCGAGATGCACCGACCTGTCACTGTTTGTGTCCTGTACTGACCTCCCTCTGTCCCCGTCAGGTGTGTTGTGTGGGTGAGCTCCACTGTCTGTGGGTAACCTCTACTGACCTCTCTGTCCTCCCTCTCAGGTGTGCTGTGTCGGTGAGGGCGGCCTCAGCGAGCCCTCCGAGCCGGCCACGGTCACCACCGAAGCCGTCTGTCCCGGCCGCTGTGCGCCGCCCCGGCTCCACGGGAAGCCTCGTGCCACATCCTGTCACGTCAAATGGGGTGAGTAGCCGCAGCTGCTAACAAACCTGGTCTATGTCCTATGATAGACAATTTTTCAACATGTATCTCTAAAGCAACTGTACGGATGTGTTCCGCATTTACGTATGTACAGCTGGAGGAACACGTCACATTAATGTCATGGCTAGCATGATACACTGTCATGTTGTCATGAACTGTCGTTGCCTTGTCGGGGATGGCTTGATGGGGTGGCTTGCTCTTGTGTCGGGCTGTGTTATGCCCGCTCAGCAGCCTAATGTCTCCAACACCAATGGCGCTTCTTGGCAGCATCTACTTCCACCGACCGATCACTGACGTCCCATGTTTCCCCTCTAAACGTTACCTGTTGGTTTCTCTACCTTACGTTCTCTCAATGTTCGACAGCGGCGCCGGAGTTTTGCGGCGGCGCGTCCGGCACTCTGGCGCTGGAGTACGAGCTCGAGCTGACCCTGGACGAGCCGACTGACGGAGTGGAGGAGCCGCCGGCCGCCAGTCGGGTGTACAGTGGCTCGGATACAGAGTGTACCGTGTCCACCCTGCTGCCCGGCCGGCCCTACCGGCTACAGGTGGGTACGGGGAACAGGGAGTGAGCGAGTTAGTGAGCTGGCGTGTGTCTTGAGTGCAGCCCGACCAGTCTAGATTGGTTGGGAGGAGAGTGTATGGTGGGTGGTGTGCCCACGCTGTGTGATGGGATTGGCAGCCTGGGGTTCTGGAACTGCCAGAAAGGTATGCTGCAGTAATCAGCACCGATCATGGACGCCGCGAGGTAACAGTGTGCTCATGTAGATGCTTTTGCGATTCTTGAATTCGCTGGTAACTCAGTCGGTTCAAAGTTGTTGCGCTGCAGTTCCATGAAGAGTAACAGCTAACAGCTGACTCTTCCGTTGGTACTGTTCGGAAGCTATAACCGTGCCCTGATTGCCTTCCCCTTCCTCCGTCCGTTCTCAGGTGCGCGCGGTGAACCGTGTCGGCGCCGGTCCGTGGTCCGAGTCTCTGTCTGTACTGAGCGGCGCCGGACCGCCCTCCCCGCCCGCCGCGCCCTCCGTGTCAGCCCGCTCGCCGCACGCGCTGCTGGTGCGCTGGGCGGAGCCGGCATCCAACGGCGCCGCCGTCACCGAGTACCGGCTGGAGCTGGCCGTGGGCAGTGCCGCCTTCCAGCCGGTCTACACGGGCACGGCGCTGCAGCACGAGGCGCGCGGACTGCAGCCGGCCACTGCCTACCGGCTGCGGGTGTCGGCCTCCAACTCTGCCGGCGCCGGGCCGCCCTCTGAGCCGACTGTGACGGTTACCCCGGCGGCCTCGCCCGCGGCCGTCACCTGCGTGGAGGCCGAGCCGACGGCCACCAGCCTGACACTGAGCTGGCAGCCGCCGGCCGACCACGGCGCCGAGGTGCTCCACTACACTGTGGAGGTCTCCGAGAGGCTGTGCAGCACGGCCGGCCCGCAGCCGCGGCTCACTGTCAACCAGCTGGCGCCCGACACCGTCTATAGGTGAGTGACGCGAACGGGCACATAAAGGCAGACACACAGCTGCTGCCTGATTCTTTGTCGTGACTACGTAGTGACGCTTATACTGTGCATAACTTCACTGCAGCATTGTCTCATTGCACTTGAAATTTCTTGTTTCATCGACAAATTTTTATCAAGCCCTTACAACCGATGGTATTGGTACAAATTGCCGCGAAACCAGGTCAGCAATGTTGTTGCACTCATCCTGTGTCCGTCATCTCTTCAGTCAGCTAACTCACGTTTGTACATTCCACTAATGTGTCCCCTATGACCGCTGACCCTCCGCCCCTTCTCTCACCCTACAGGATACGTGTTCAGGCGGTGAACAGCGTGGGTCCCGGCCCGTTCAGCGCCGTCTACCGCTGGAGCACCCTGAGCCTGCCGCCGGCGCCGCCGCCCCTCGAGGTCACCCACACGGCGCACAACTTCGTCCGCCTCCGCTGGGGCGACGTCAAACAGCAGACGGAGCGTATCGTGTACTCGCTAGAGTGCGAGGCCAAGAATGGAGAGTGAGTACGAGGGACGGTGGTGGGTGATGTACACAGAAGCGGCAGGGCAAGGAAAGAACACTCAGACGGGTTGTGTTGAGATTCAGTGGCCCAGAACGTTTGCCTTTTCTCACTGGTTGGAGTTTGGATTGTGCGGAAAGTTTACCGTTGTGTATAAGGGTTCCTCTTTCTGATCAGAGTGTCTGGTGGATCTAGCGAGTTTAGTCGCTGGGTGCCGCAGGCTTTACGTGTCTTGGAAGACAATGCATGTCTTTTCCTGACTTTCTGACCGGTGTGCGCATGACAGGTTTTACGTGGTGTACGAGGGCAGCGGCACCCAGTTCAAGATGGCCCGCCTCTCCGAGGACACCGAGTATCGGCTGAGAATCTGCGCGGCCAACGAGGCCGGCGAGGGGCCCTACTCGAATGTGGTCAGCACGCGCACCACCCGACAGCCGCCGCCCTCCGTCAGAGGTGAGCAGAGCATTTACCGCTCACTGTGTTTCCGCGTTAATGTTGTTCTCAGTCTACAAGGCCTGCTTAGTTCTCATTGTCCGCTACCTACATGTTCATCACAGGACTGAGACTCTTGGCTGTCTTGTAACTCTCCGCTGCCCTGTATAACCGACTCTCCATTTTTTTTTTTTCTCGGGCTTATGGCTTTCTGTGTTCTCCCCAGGCTAGCAGCTGTCCGTTGCCCCTCCCCCCTCTCGGGTGGTGACCTTCCGTGTTTCTCTCCTTCAGGTCTGCGTCTGGGCGACCGGACGGAGCGCAGCTGTACCCTGGAGTGGCTGCCGGTCAAGTCTGGCGCGTCGGCCGACCAGAGGCCCAGCTATGAGCTGCAGCTGACGCCGGCCGGCCGGCAGCACGAGTTCCAGACGGTAAGGCGGCTGCTGCCGACACCGACCGTTGGCGGGGAGTCTTCTGGGAGAGCCGTTTATATTATCAGCACACTACCAACCTGTCTTACAGTAAAAGAACTGGCCGGTGAAAACACGTCGATTAAAAAGCACATCCTGTTTCATCATACAAGACAAAAACTACGGGCTGTCCAGCCTGCCAATAGCCATTCCCCGTTATCATTCACATACATTTTACAGAGACCGGACACATATTGTGAGCCCAGCCAAGGATGCAGCCTGGCTACCTCCTCTTGTGCTGCTGCCTTCGTCCTATCTACCAGCTCTCCCAAGTCCAAAAGTCTGACTTCCCATCTCTTCTCCCCAGGTGTACACTGGCCCGGAGGTGCAGTACCGCCTGACCGGCCTGGAGCCCCAGACCGACTACCAGGCGCGCGTCTGCTGCCGGCCCGTCACCGGGGAGTGTGGACCGTTCACCGCTCCGCTGCGGTTCACCACGCCCGCGGCGCCGCCGCCGCCGCCGGCCGCCCGCGCTGCCGCCGCCACCTCCCAGACTGCCAAGGTACGGAGCACACCGCGGGAGGTCATGGAAGGTGATGGGGATTTGGTGTAGAGCACTGCCCTCTTGATCCTAACCTCATGTTTATTCGTATGTTGTTGACGTTGTTCTTCTCGATCTTTGATGTAAGCCTGAAACGGTTGATTAATTGCGGCCGTGAGGCTCCGAGACTGTCAGGGTCAATCAGAAATTGATGACAAGCCAGTCTCGGGGAGTTGCTAGGCGTTATCGCTCTTCTCTGTTATTGATACAGCAGTGTAGCTGCGTAAGGAGACATGCTTTCCTTGCTGGGATTGCTGTCAGTGCCCTAACACCTGTTATATACTTGACTCAAATCCGAATGCAAATGATTGGACACCGGGACGTCGATTGCTGGTTCTCGCGTCTCCCGCAACCCTCTCTTTACCCTCATCCTCCCCGGTGCCCGCTGCTGTTGCTCCCTTCGAACCCCCCCCCCCCCCCCCGCTGCTCGCTGTCTGTTATTAACAGTGTGCCCTCCTGTGCTCTGTCGCCAGGCGGCCGAGCGGAAGCCGTGGACAGAGCAGCAGTGGGCCGTGGTCATCCTGGGCGCGTTCGCGGCCGTCGCTGTACTGCTGGCCGTCCTCGTACAGCAAATCATGGTTATGATGTCGTAGTGCAGCGCGTTTCGCCCGGACCCGACCCGACCCTGATATATACCGTCTATTTTATTACGTGGTTGTACGTGCCCTCTGTGTCCAGATTTTATCTGGCGGGTGCGCGTCTGTCGGTCTGTCGCGTCCTGTCCCCCCTTCCTCCCCGCCACGCCCCGTCCTTCCGTCGCCAACCGATCGTGAACGTGGAGAGCTTCGAACGACTGCCACCAGAGGCGCTGTGATCGCGCCGGGACACGGCTGGACCGAGATACGCGCGGGAGACAGACGAAGCACGGGCCGCTGTCCTAACCGCCGAGCGCAAACACCTATAAACAGGTAAATCACCAGACCAATGTGCCACCGGAGAGGACTGCAGTGTCTCCGCGCTCGGCGGGGGTGGCTCGTGTGGTTCGTCTGACCGTCAGTGGTTGTGTGTGCGCGCGCGGTGTTCGGTGTTCTCTCGGGGGCGAACGGCGGCGGCGGGCGGCCTGTCCTCTCCGGTGTCCTAGGTGTGGCTCCAAGACAATCCCGCGTGCGTGGCGCGGTTCGCGTGTACAAATTGAACGCTGCATTTATGTCTCATTTATGTCTGCCGGCGGGCCGGGGCGCTCGGCGAGCAGCGTCCGGCCCGGCCGGCTGTTTTGTTTTATTGTCAGGGTTTTGCTCGGGCGTCGCGTGCTGGGGCGGTGTCAGAGTCTGAGCGACAGACGAGAAGTGCGGTAAGAGCTGGGCAATCGGCGAGCCCGCCCCGGCCTCTCGGTAGTTTTATTTTTGTTTGCATCGCTTGCTGGACACGGACGCAAGCATCCATTCCACACAAGGCACAAAATCGTGTTTTGGATGCGAATTTCCGTTATCGAATAGCTTTACCAGAGGGATTGTTTATCGAGCGTTATACTGCAATTAAATATATATTTACTGTTATAGCACTGCTTGGCGAGCACGCTGCGGCCGGGCGGTGCGTCTCTGGTGACAATCGCCGGCCTCTCCCGCCCACAGCCCCTTTTCAATGGCGCCCGCCGGTGTGGTTATGTGATTAAGACATGGATGGATTGGACATGGCGCACACACGGACTGGCGCACGCGGACGCGCCTCTCCTATCTATTATATATATAAACTGGCTATATTCTGTTGTCTGATGCATTCCAAAATAAACAGGCTACGTTGATTGAGTGTTGATGCTTGCGCGGCGGAACGGTCGGTGGTCGTGAATCATTTCTTCAGCCTCGGGCTCTAGAACCTATGATGACAATGACAGCCATACTGGGCTAGCAGGGGAGGGGAATGAGATTGCCACTCAAAACGTCTAGGGCTGCGCTGGTCGCCCCTGTGTCGCTCTTGTTCACGCACTGAACGGATATAGACCGAATTTCGGGGTCTAGAAAACCTTGGAGGGTACTAAATAAAAAAGGTGGATTTTCGCTGGCAATTCTGATGTATGTCAGTATAAGACAGCAAGATGACAAACCATGACAAAGAAAAATTAAGCGACCTTGGCTTAGCACCGTGGCGCGAGTCAAACACTTCCTCGCCGAGCGCTGGCGAGTCAAACACCGCCTCAACGAACGCAGGTGAATCATGGCTGTGTCACGCCGTCAGTCGACAGCCGCCTCCAGTGCCGCCGTTCCGCGAGGCGGTCCGCGCACCGCCGGCTAGATGGCCGTGTCACCGCCGCCGGCAGCACCGGCTGGTCGGCGGCTCCAGGCGGGCTCCGCGCGCGCCTGGCGCAGCGACTCCAGTGCCGCCCAGGCGGAGAATATGGAGCGGCGCTGGGCGGCCTCGGTGCCGTCCGGCTCCGGTGGTGGCGGCACGTCGCGGGCGCCTGCCGCCGGCCGGCGCCCCCTGTGGGCAGGGCTCCCGGACAGTCCGTAAAGCCGATCCAGTCGGGAGTGAACAGTTTTTTGGCGACACTCGAACTCGGTCACTTGCATCGCGGAGCGCGGCGCGGTGGTCGGCGGCTGCGGCGCGGTGGTCGGCGGCTGCGGCGCGGTGGTCGGCGGCTGCGGCGAGGTGGTCGGCGGCTGCGGCGAGGTGGTCGGCGGCTGCGGCGCGGTGGTCGGCGGCGAGGTGGTCGGCGGCTGCGGCGCGGTGGTCGGCGGCTGCGGCTGGGATGGTGGGCTGCGCGCGGCCACGGTGGCAGGCTGGGTGGTCTTGAAGTAGTCGGCGATGGTCGGACAGACCGCGTTGTGGCTGAGGACAGAGGCTGGCCGACACGCCACCTTGGCCACCGACGGCCCGGCCCGCGCCGCCGGCGGCCTCTTCAGCGCCGGCGCCGCCAGCTCGGCGCGTGGCGGCGGCGCGGCGCCGGCGCGCATCAGCCGCGAGACGCGCTCGCGCGTGCCGACGGGCCGCACGGGCACGCCCTGTTTGCAGCAAAGGTGGGCACAGCCAGTCTTGTCGAGACAGTGGTGGCGGCACTGGCGCGTATCCGCCACACCGGCGTCTGTGGTGGCGGCTGCGGCGCCGTCCGCCGCCGGGAGCTGCTCCCTGCCAGCTCCCACAGCCGGCGTCCGGTACACCGGCGAAAACTCGGCTCGCACGTCCAGACCGACCCAGCTCTCGCTGATGTAGCTGATGGTGAGGAGGTCCCCGGCGCTGGCTCGCTGCACGTGGAGCTGACGCTGCAGCTGTCCGGCCCTCTGCAGCGCGCCGTCCGTGAGGCGCGCGGCGCACAGCAGACGGTTGTCCTCATCGCCGACGACGAGCAGACACGAGTGGCGCGCGCCGGTGGCTGACGTTTCCGGCGAGAAATGCTGCGTCAGCAGACGGACGGTGAGGGTGACGGTGGCGGAGGTGGCCGCCGGCGCTCCCTGCTGCTCGGCCGTCACTCCGTAGCGCGGCAGCCCGCCGGCCGCTGCGCACAGATGGGCGCCGAACGGCGGCAGCCGGTTCACCGCCTGCTCGATCCGCCGTCCGCCCGCCGCTGCGATGGCGTCCAGCGATGTGAGTCCGGCCTGGGCCAGTGCGGCGGCCAGCGCCGGGCCGACGCCGGCCAGTTGGCGGCCCACCAGCGGCGAGTCGGGCCACAGCCGGGTGCGCACACCCTTGGCCAGCAGCACGGCCGACACGTAGGCCCGGTGGCCGCCCGCCGAGCGCAGGTACTCGACGGCGCACCTCATGACTCGCTCAGTCACCCGGCATATCTTGGTGAGGTCTTGTGAGAGCGAGGGATCACCGATTGAGATGGAGCCCAGGGCGGCCTGCAGCAGACAGTTGATCTTCATCTGGGTGGTTTTAATTCGGCCCGGCAGCGGGTAGCGAACGGTGGCTCGCTCAGAGCTCCGGTTCAGGGCGTTCAGACACCTCTTGTCGCTAGTGCGCAGCTGGACGCCCTCGAACTCGTCGCAGCCGGCCAGGACGGAGAGCAGCGCGGGCAGGTCCTCCTGGCCACTCATCTGTTGGAGGGCGCGCATCGTGTTAAACGAGATGCAGAATCTGGCCATCAGTCGGCCAGCGGGGGTGGGCACCACTTCCAGCTCGCCTTTGGAGATGAGGCCGGCGTCTGCCAGCCGATCCAGCTCCTGCACACACAGCTCATGCAGCTGGTCCTCAACCTGTGTACGGCTGAGCGCGGCGCCGCCGCCCAGGCCATAGTGGTCCGGCCGGCGTACGGCGCACACGTACAGGAAGGTGGAGCGCAGCCAGCGCAGCGCCGCCTCCAGGTCGGTGACGGTTCCCAGCACCACCTCGGCGTTCAGGTGGCTGATCAGGTGGCGGTGCAGGCACGACTCGATCAGCTGGGAGCCGCTCAGCAGCCGTTCGTACCGCTCCCTGTGCGCGGTCTCGGTCATGATGACGGCAGTGGCGTCCGTATCAAACTGCGGCCGGCCGGCGCGTCCACACATCTGCAGAATCTCGGCGTCCGAGTAGAGCTGGCAGCCGGCGGCCGTGTAGTGGCGGGTCGACTTGATCACCACCAGGTGAGCTGGCAAGTTGACGCCCATCGCGAGTGTGCTGGTGCACAGCAGAACGGGCAGGTGGCCGGCCAGGAAGAGCTGCTCCACTGCCTGTCTATCCGCCGGCGACAGGCCGGCATGGTGTACACCGACGCCCTTCAGCAGCAGCTCTCGGAGCGCGCCGTCGGTGACCAGGTTGGCGGCGCGGGTGAGTTGCACCTTGTGCCGTCCGTCGGCCACCAGAGCGGCCTGCTGGACGAGCACAGCCGCCGCTTGCTGGCACCCCTTCCGAGTGGAGCAGAACACCAGCGCCGGCTTTCCGTCCGAGTAGGTGTGCAGCACAGACGCCAGCTGGTAGTTGAGCGACATGTCGAACCGAAACGGCGACCACCGCTCCGGGCAGCGGTAGCCGAGCACCAGGCGGCGCAGCCGCACCGGGCGCGCGCTCTCGCCCAGCTGGTGTGACACGGCAGCGCCACCGTCGGCGCCCAACCACTGGGCCACGTCGGCGGCGTTTGGGATGGTGGCCGATATCGCCAGGAACCGGGTGCTGGCGGCCGGGGCACTCCTGGTCCGGCTGACCACGGCCTCCATGGTGGGGCCGCGCTGCGGGTCGGCCAGCAGGTGCACCTCGTCCAGCAGCAGCAGCCGGACGGAGCCCAGCCGCGGCCAGCGCCGAGTCACCGAGTCCCACTTCTCCGGCGTGGTCAGCACCACCTGCGGCCGGTGCAGCTCGGCGTACTCGTCTCGATCGGTGTCGCCAGTCAGCTCGCAGCACTCCAGGCCGAGCGGACCGAACTTGGTCCGCCAGTCGCGGAAGCGCTCAGTGCAGAGCGCCTTCATCGGCGCCATGTAGACGGCGAGGCAGTCCACCGGCTGACCGGCCCGTTCGAACTCCATCAGCAGTCGAACTATGGCCAGCTCGAAAATGACTGTCTTCCCGGAGCCGGTGGGGGCGCACACCACCAGGGGCCGGTCTGAGTAGAGTGCGTCGTCGAGTACGGCCGACTGCACCCGGTTGAAGAGGGTGAATGGCTGGAACACGGCCCGGTAGCGCGCCGGCAGCTCGGAGACGGCGCGCAGAGCGGCGGGACAGTCGTCGCTCCGTCGGGCAGCTGGTGGGGAGGTGGCTCGCTCGGTCCGCGGCCGCAGCGGCCACCGGCCGGCCACGTGTCCGATGGTGCTGCCCGCGCCTGGCTCCGGCAGAGAGTCCCAGTCCATACTAGTGAAGAGGTCGGATGGCTGTCGTTTCCGCTGGTCCGGCTCTGCCCGTCGTCCACTGGAGAGGTACACCGGAGAGAAGGACGGGTGCTCCGGAAAGTCGGACGGGTGCTCCGGAGAATCGGACGGGTGCTTCGCAGAGTCGGACGGGTGCTCCGGAGAGTCGGACGGGTGCTCCGCAGAGTCGGACGGCTGCACCAGAGAGTAGGACGGGTGGTCCGGAGAGTAGGATGGGTGCTCTGGCGGGGCCAACAAGTCATCAGCAGACTGGTGCCGTGCGCTCGGAGGACTCTGGTGGGGACGAGAGATGCCGGCATTCACTGAGCTATAGGAGCAGTGGCGCTGATATTGATATCTAGTGGTTGCCTCTTCATCTTTGTGGATGAAACGCTCGGGAAGCCACACGGGAGCTGGAGTCTCCGTGCGATGATGCTGGTCCAGCGTAACGTGTCGGACTCGGTCACGGTCACGGCCGGCGCCGGGTGGCTTCCTATCAACACGACCCACACCCGTTCTGTGATCACCAGCCCCCAGCAGCGCGGCGCCCTGTTCACAGTCCGAGGGCGTTGGTTCCGTCTGAGCGGGGCATTGTGAATATCGCTCCGGGCTCGGGCTGTAGCGGCTCGGCGGTATGTAGGGCCTTGGGTTCGGCGGCATGCCGCTGTCGGCCGCTCCGGGGGACGCGTCTGTGCCGCGCCAGCCCCAGTCCGGGCTGCCCTCAGCGAACGACACCAGATCAAACGTGGGCCGCTCGGCCCGACCACCGGCTGACCCTGGGCCGTCGCCGGGCGCGTCGACTGACACCCGGCGGCCGTCGCCGTTCGACCACACATAGGGGAGCGGCGCACGGTCACCGCGCCCAGTCGGCGAGTCGCCCTCCACGCTGAATCCGTCAGAGAGATTGAATCTGGCCGCCTCTGGGTGGTGCTGGCACGGTGACTCCGCGGCGGGGCCGCCGGAGCGCGCCGGGCGCTGCACCGGCCGGCCGGCTACGCCGCCGCTCAGCGGCCGGCCGGCGCGGCCACCCGCCGGCGACGGCTGCGACAGGTCCAACAGGCGGCGCAGGTGCGCCTGGCTGTCGGACGGAGGCCGGTCGTCCGCCGCCCCGCGGCCGCTGCCAGCCCTGGCTGGCAGTTGGAGTCTCATGCGTTATGCTGAGCCGGTACCGTCTTGCATTTCGGTATAAATTATAAGCATATTCACATGAGTCTTAAATCCATGTAGCCTTTGATACCGTATATCAATATATCTGAATTCAACGTTTCCAAGGTATATAAGAATACATTGCAAGAACGAGCCAATCAAAATACGAACGTAGGCTCTTATAGTTTTCTTATAGGTATCTTGGTATCTTGTTGTAGGCTCAAGGCCGTATCGTATATAGGCCGTGTAGGCTCTTGACAGTTGACCGAATACTGAGCGAAGCGATTGAGACGTGCTAGAGACAAAATCCGATGCAGCGATTTCATCTTGTTCTTGGTTTTAAGTTCTAGCAAGATTGGTGCTAGCGCTAGCAGACTGTTGTTATTGTTCTTTGTTTATGATTTCTTACTTTTTAGCTTAAAGATGATTTAAAAAGACGATAAAATATCTCATGAAACACGATACAATTAACTTTGAATGGTGTTATTGAAAGAGTTTCACTTGAACTCTTATGTTGAACTCATAAGTTTTCTATGACGTCAGGGACAACTATGAATACTAACCGAAAGTTAATGCTATTGAACAGAGTGAAGGATCAGTAGTCTTAGACAGGGGGGCGACACGGCTATTCGCGTAATGTATTCATTTATGGGCCGCGCGGGGCCTCGCGATGACGCGGCTGGAGGCAACTGCTCAGCGCGCTAGGATACTTCTGGCGGGGCCGGGCGCTGAACGGTGTGCAATGAATGGGTTATGGGCGGGCAGACAGAGCTGAGGTATTGAATTTGAATTGACATCAGCAATCGGGTGGGAAAGGAGAACGTTTCTAATCGAGCTTGCGGGATGGGGAAAGCCGAAAATATCACGATCGGCTCATAGCTCCGACAGGGCCGGGTGCCGTATATTTAGGCGGGCAGACAGAGATGAGTTATTGGATTTAAATTCACCTTACCATCGGTTTCTGGTGGGGTTTGCAGACGTTTTTAGTCAAGCTCGGAGTGGGGCAACCCACTGGCGGATCCAGGGGAAGGCATTTGGGGCAAATGTCTTCCCCCACAACCAGGGCAGCGCCCGAAATCGCTTTTCCAGAATAAAAGAAAACTTCACAACTTTTCTGAGGAAATGTTGGTTAATCACACTGCACAGCAGTGCGCAAGGAATCGAAATCCGAGTTTTTTTTAATTCATTCCGAGAAACCTTTATGGGGTAATTGCCCCCGCAGTGTCCAAGACCGCTTCCTGGATCCGCCAGTTGTGAATAAGTCACGGTCGATACCGAGCTTCGGCGGGACCAGGCGCTGTAACTATACGTTGTTCTTTCAATGAAGAGGTGGACAGACACCTAGCCCCACATCCTACTGCTATGCCCGTGCTTCTGTGGGTGAAGCACTAAAGCATCACGGAATCCCACAGGACTTGCGAGTCGACGAGGTGGCCGCTTTGGCCGCCGGGTACTGCAGCTCCCTGGAGTTGCCTGGGACCGATGGCAAAACAACAGCTCCGGCGGTGCCCCTATGGGCCGTAGTAATTAGTGAATTCCCGTAATGTAGAGATCACAGTGGCGGATCCAGGGGGCAAAATGGGCATTTGCCCCCCCCCCCCCCCAAACGGCATAATTTTAACATTACGCCTATGGACGAGGCATGGAAAGAATCGATAAATTGTTATGGTTTGCCCCCCCAAAACTCTGAGCTGGATCTGCCTCTGAGAGATCATATCCTCAATGATCTCCATTACCATTTTATATTCCTAAACAGTATGACAGACCAATTATGCTTGCCTAATGCCTACGTTCAGGCATTACCTTTGATGGTCATACGCCCAGTACAACATGTGTTGTCTTGTCTGTCAAACAACAATCGACGACGGGATCCCTTCTCATCATCTCTTAAGCCATCGGTTGTCAATTCACCCACCCCGTCTCCCTAGAAATAGACGGTCAGATTCGGCCTGGGTCCTTACGACCCCTTTAGATTCGCCAGAGACGGGATCGGATCGCCGTTATTGCACCTGTCTTAGTGTCTTTAATACTATGACAGCTTCGACCACGGACGTCGGACGGGGTGATCGTTCAACGAATGTACGCACCATCCAGGCCTAGGATGCATCGAGGTTTAAAAGAATGCAGTCTGTAGATCAATCAACATAACAATGGTGGTATGCAACCACAAATATCTCCCCGGCTCCCGCAACGTTCCAACGCCCCTCCGTTATGCATTCGCCTTGTGTGTCTGCCGAGCCGGCTTGCCTCCAATGACGTCATCGGCCGGCCGGCGGCGTTCAAGGTCAAACGGCTGGTGTCCTTACCTGGAGTTCTATAGCCTTGGTCTTAGAGTCTAGGGGCCTGTTCCAGCGCCTCCAGAAACCTCCAGAAAGCTCCAGAAAGCTCTAGAATCCTCCAGAGAGCGTTCCAGCGCCTCCAGAAAGCTCCAGAAAGCTCTCGCCAAAGCTCCAGAAACCTCCAGTAGCCTCCAGAGAGTTGGGAGGTCCAAATTTCTCTGGAGGCTCTGGTCTACAATTATGGCGCACATGTGACAATCACGAATGTAAACAAAGGACTTTTGACTGATTATTTATTTTTGAATGTAAAGAAAATCACATTGCTATTGTTACCGCCGAGAGGGGGAATTGAAGGAATAGGAGGTGCCAGTTCAGTTTATTGCTTAGGGCATGCGAATGTGCAACACTTACCTGTGCATGTCTGCCTGCGGAATTTGCACTGCATGGGATGTTGGGACGTTTGCTTTGTGTTGCAATCGTGGCTGCCGGGTTTGCTCACACATGTTTTGCCTTCTCTTACAGTGCAAACGTGCTAAAGTAATTGTTCATTGATGACAGGCGTATTGTGGACCATTGAACTCCTTCATCTTGCAAACGAAGTACGTATCCATACGTTTATGTGTTAAATGTCTGCGGTCAACTGTGGCTACGCTATGGAGTCATTTGTTTTCTAATGAGCTGGCCACTACTTTGAATCGACACTGATCACAACAGAATGTTCAGCGGACAGTACAAAATGTGAATGATTGCTTGTGAATAATGTACAGTCAAACTAATCGCTAGAATGCTTGCGCGATTGTCTTGTCCGCATAGCTTCTTGCGCAGGGCTGTCGTGCATGAATCGTGCATGAGCACTGCATGAGCTTCATGTGACTGACGGTGCGTGATCTGTGCGTGTTTGTTGCAGCTTTTACGTGACAAATGAATGGACTACTGCTGCAATACATCACTGGGGCAATCCTAACTGTCCTTCTCTATTGATGGTAGTTGACGAAACGCGGTTACAGTAAAAGTTCGTTTGCTGCTTCCTTTTCCAATCACTCAATGAACACAAGCTGAACAAGCTTACCTTCTGTCCAATGTAATGTCCCATCCTTGTCATTGGTATCACTGAAGAGGAGAATTGAAGACAAGATGGATCAACAGAAGGTTCAAGTGCAAGAGAAGAAGACAACTGTATGTGAAAGGTCACGACCAACAAGAGGAAAGAAGATGACTGAAGCTGGCAGAGAATACCAATGTGGTATCAAGACACAGGCATATAACAGATACTGCAAGGAGCTTAACAAGCTGGCAGTGCGCATACTGACTGAAGATGGCATGGAAATAGCAGACGATATCAGTCAGGAACTTCTGGACAAATGGATGCTTTGCCATCAGGAGTTCCTACAGATTGAACAGGAACTCCGAGAACTGCTGGATCCTGAAGACAGACTCCAACATGACAAGAAACATGGCCAGCAACTGGAAGAAATGAAAGTGATTCTTGGTCTTCTAAGACAACAAGATCCAAGAGGGCTTCTCTGCCGCCCGTATTCAAGTGCTGCACCTGGTGCAGTTGGAGGACAGGGTGTGACGCAAGAGACGCCTCAAACCGACCTCAGGATTGAACGCGATGATGACAACAAAAGCGCTGCATCTCGAAAGAGC